GGGCAAAAAAAAAAAAAAAAAAAAAAAAAAAAAGCCAGCCAAGGTATTAAACAATCAAGTCATAAAATTATAGAACTAAAAGACCCCTTGAAAATTTCCTAGTTGTATATTAAATAAGGTAATTATCATTTTGCTCTTGCTTATAAAGACCACAGAAAGAATTAAAGTTTCAAGGGCAGTATTTCTTGCTCAATAAAAATCATATAACTCTAGGATATGTTATACTACTCAAAAACATAATTAGTCATATTAAACTAGTGAATTCTATAATAGAACTAAATGGAGAGAAATGCAGAAAATAAATATTTTGTAAATTGAATTTTTAGAAATTGTATAACATGAAGTCACTTGTTGAAAAATGTAGTGCGATGCATAGTGAAATGTATTATCTTTAAAAAGGAAGGACAACAGAATGTATGCAGGATACTTTTAAAAAAGAAGATTTACTACACTAGCAGGACCTTGGTTATAGCACAGGGGTCAGCAAATTAGTGCCCATAAAGCAAAGTCAGCCCACTGCCTGTTATTGGAAATAAAGTTTTACTGGAACACACCCATGCCTATTTACTTATTCGCTATGAAAGATTATGGACTATAAGAACAGAGACCTTATGGTCCACAAAGCCTAAAATATTTACTATCTACCTCTTGACAGAAAAAGTTTGTGAACCCCTGGTTTAGTAGATCAAATATCTTCTGATGTGTTTTAATAGGTTTTACCCAATATACTGAAATATTTATATGGAGTATGGACCCCATGTGCAATCCCTTGGCAACATTCAGATTAACTTCACTGTCCAATACTTGGAACACTCATGCATTGGGAACAAAAACAAAAAATCCAATAACTAACAATTTTGTTGGTAAAAGGTAGAGGGGCCAGTGAAGAATGTACCTTTCTTTTACGACTCAGCAGATACAAGTATATAACAAAACTTGCTTAAGATGCATCATCAAACCAAATTCTTTAAATATACTTTAACTGTGGAATAATTAGTACACTATAGATCTAACCTCTTTTTTTTTAATGGTTGCGTACTGCATTGCTTTATGGGCATGACAATTTAATTATTTCCTTATTGATGGGTATTTGGAGTATCTCCAATTTTTTGATAAAACAATGGTATAATAAATAGCCATAACATACATATATATCATATATATATATAT